TACAAGATCCTTTTTATAACTGTAGGAACATTTCCAGCAGTTCAGAGCCTGGCAGAATAATGACTGTTCGATGAACTGAGTTCCATTGCTTTGATTGATTTGTAACTAAGATGCTCATTTATTCAGCTATATCTTTTCTCTGTTCCTGCCCTTCCTCTGTTCTTTATTCATACTGTTTGGTGATAATGGTTAAAGTAAATAATTTTGTTTTGAGTGAGGGTTCATATTTTCCAACTCAATTGGGCCTTCAAAACTGCTTACTGGTCTTATTCCTAGTCCCCTCCTTACCTGATTGTCTGCAGCTTTTAGTCCTGTTAACCCTCTTCATATCCAGACCTCTTAGATGGTAACTTCACTTCTGCTTCACTGAGAAAATTATCCAAAATGAGCTCACTTCCCTTCAGATCCCCTCAAATTTGCTTTTTCTTTCCACATTGCTGTGGTCTCAGTGGAACATGAGCCACTTCACTGAAACTTTGGACTTTTGTTTTTCTGAGGGTCTTTCCCCTACTCTCATATAGTTTCAATCTCTCCACATGCGTATCTCCTTAGCCAGCAAACATGCTTCATTCTCCCTCCAGAATTTGCCCTCCTCAGGCTATAATTGCTTTTTTACTTCTATCCTGTCAAGAGGTTATTTCAGTCTGTGACACTGAGCAGAACTGGACCCATAGCCACCATGAACAGCAAAGGTCAATATCCAACACAGCCAACCTACCCTGTGAGCCTCCTGGGAATCCAGTGTACTCTCAGACCTTGCACCTTTCTCAGGGTCTGCCCTATGCTGATGCTCCATCTGCCAATTCAGAGATCTGTCGTCTGAGCTTTGTGCACCCAGGGGCTGCCACAGTCTCCACCATGTTAGCCGCTTTTCCTTGCACCTCGCTGTATCTTCCCCTGGCCCAGTCAGTGGCTATTGGTCCTTTAGGTTCCACAATCCCCATGGCTTATTATCCAGTTGGTCCCATCTATCCATCTGCTTCAGTAGTGCTGGTGGAAGGAGTGTATGATACAGGTGCTAGATTTGGAGCTGGGTCTACTGCTGGCAATATTTTTCCTTCACTCCCAGGATGCCCTCCCCATGCTGCTCAGCTTGCAGTCATGCAGGGAGCCAGTGTCTTCGTAACTCAGTGGAAGGGAAACTTCTTCATGGGTGGCTCAGATGGTCGCTACACCACCTGGTGAGGAACCAAGGCTACCTCTGTGCCAGGAAAGACATCACATATCTTCAGCACTTCTCACAATGTACCTCCTTTAGTCGTATTAACCTGAAATTGCAGTTTAGACTTGTTGGGATGTCTTTCTGTTGCCCAAACTTTCAGGCATTTTTCAAACTTAATAAGGAACCATGTAATGATAGCAGTACCTCCCAAAAGCATTTTGAGGTAGAGGAGATAGCCATTCATAAAATGAACATGGGTAAAGTAGCCTTGAGGCTCTTCCTTTGATTCCTCCAGAGTAATACTGTACCATACCATTATTGGCTTTTAGTAATAAAACATCAAATTAGTTTTGGAGGGAACTTTGATCTTCCTAAACAGTAAAGTTGCCAAATTATTGTGATTGGTCTTTAATCTCCTGTAAGTCTCTGATTTATATTACCTGTCTTAAATGAAGTGTATTAGTTATCTGCTTTTCCCTTTCCATCCTTTGCCCCACATCCCACCTTCAACCATAATCTTTCATTCCCTCCCACCAGTCTCCATTGAATCAGTGGTGTAGGACAGAAAACCTAATTTCAGACTAATTTCCTTCTCTCCTCGCACTTCTCCCCACTTGTCATCTTTTTTTTTCCTGAGGAAGATTCACCCTGAGCTAAGGTTGCCAATCCTCTTTTATTGCTTGAGGAAGATTGGCCTTGAGCTAACATCTGTGCGAGTCTTCCTCTATTTTGTACGTGGGACACCACCACAACATGGCTGGTGAGTGGAGTAGGTCCATGCCCGGGATCTGAACCCACAAACCCGGGCCACCGAAGCAGAGCATGCAGAACTTTAACCACTTGGCAATGGGGCCAGGCCTCCTACTTGTCATCTTTTAACTAGTCTTTCACGAGGATCCTCTGAAACCCTCTCTGTGCCCCAAGCACAGACGCCATTACTTCTGCTTTTGCATCTTCTCAGGCAAAAGTAGAGGGTGCCTTTTGGATCCTCTTTATAGGTTGTCGCTTCGTTCATGAATGAAACCCAAATTTGCTTTGGTGCCAGAAAAACGGAGGTTTGTTTGAACAAAGGATATCAACAGAAACTGTACTGGAAACAGGTTTGTTTAAAATATGAGAGGCAATGAGGAGGATGTCTTTCAAAAGCCTGATGACTTTAGAGCAAAATTAAGGGGAATTTTCAGATCAAGAATCGGTTACCATTTATTATGTCAGAGTGCCTGATGCAGCCACTCGTGGCTCCCAAGAATTCCTAAGCTGGGTTAATGGGGTCATATTGTGAATGCCTCACTACAAAATGACTTAAGTCCAGTAAAATCTCATTAGGGTTAAGAATATTTTGGAATCCTTAATATTTTGATTTTTTTTCTGAAATTGGATTTTATTTTATCTTATAATTTCAGTTCATCTCTGTTTGCTGTCCTATACATCTGGTCTTTTACTGTACCATTGACTGTTGTAGAAGTTCATCGTTGTATGTCTCTACACTGTGGTGCACTTAACTTGTGGATTTTTTTATACAAAACATGTAGAATAAAGACTGTTTTGAAGATTTGAATAAAGTGATGACATTGCATTACAAGAAAAAAAAAAGAGCTTATTTCCTCTACAATTATTCCTCAATTTCCACAATCCAGTTATCACCACAACTGAACTACTTGCACAGGCCACCAGTGCCCTCTTTTTTGGCAAATCCAGTGACTTCTATACTATCAATCTACTTTCCTCTCTTCAGCATTTGACATTGTTGATAATACCCTCGGTCCTGAAACTTTGCTCTCTTGGTCTCCCTAACACCACTCTCCTAGGTTTTCTTTTTTCTCTCTTTGCCCCTTCTTCTCTTTTGGCGTCTTCTCTCCTGGCCCCTTAAATGGAGGTGCTTTATGGTGTTCCATCCTGGGTCTTCACTTACTCTGTAGTTGATCTCTGGACTATGATATCTACTCTCATGGTGTCACATAACTCCTTGCTAATAAATCCAGCTCTGGTCTTTTTCTTAGTGCTAGACCAAACTAGAACGAAAACTAGGCAAACTGCTCAACGGAGACCTCGTCATTGTTGTTCTGAAAGTACCACAAACTCAAATTCAAATTCAAATTTCAATTAACATACTTTTCCCAAACAGGCTGTAAACCTTGACTCTTCCATTTCCGTCACCCCACCTCCCACCCAAACTGGGCAGTTGTCAGGTCCTGTTGACTGTACCTGAGGGTGACCAGGAGCATTTCAAATGTCCCATTGTCATCCCTGCTGCTGCTGCTGCCCAACTTCACGACTTCATTTTCTCTCACCTAGGAGTATGTCACTCCTTTCCTTGGTTGCTCTCTAGTGTCTACAAACTAACATCCACCCTCTTGGCAGTCAGGGCCCTTTGTGATCTTGTCCCAGATAACTCATTCAGCCTCGTGTCCCACAGCCTCTCAAGCAGCCATTTCCTAAAACTCTGAATTTTTGTTCTTATGGACATTTACTTGTGCTGTTCCTGCCCTGACTGCCCATTCCTCCCATCCTTTTGCCTGGAAAATCCTTCAGGGCTCAGCAAGGGTCTTCTCCTCCATGAAGTCTTCCTCTTTGAGTCTAGAGTAAATGTTTGGTGATTATGAGGAGTAGAACTTAACTACAACTGCCTAATAATGACTACCATTTATGGAGAAATTACTGTGTGACAGTCATCATCTTGACACAGAATACTAGAAGCAGATGGCTAAGAACACGAGCTTTGATGGCAGAGTCCCGGCTCTGCCGTTTACTAGCTGTGTAACCTTGGACAAATTATTGACCATCTCAGCATCGATTAAGTCTGAGAATTAAATGTGCTTGGCATATGGAAAGTAAGCAATAAATGGTAGCTGCTGCCACTATAAGTGGAAAGATTTTCCTCCTCAGAACCCCCTCATGAGATATTAAGTACTATTATCATTCCGGTTTTAAAGATGATGAAACTGAGGCTTAGAGAAATTGGGTAACTTGCACTCCTTCCCCTAATGCATGGGTACTGTGGCTTATTCATGTTTTTATTCCAGAATGTCTTTAAACCTAATAAATATTTATTGAATTGAGTTGAAAGATAAGTCTGGAGCTCCAGGATCAGATTGAGAGAGAAATTTAGAAATTGTCGCTTGCATAGGGGTAGTAATTGAAGCCGTTCTCTTTCCTTTCAAGTCCTGTTATCTTTGAGAGTCCACACATTTCAACCACCCCTTCAGCAATGAGCTATATATATTGCCTTGTAACAGATGGTAATTATCTTCAGCTGTTACTTAAATCTCTTGTTAAAATTTGCTTGTATTTATCTTCTTTCCCCAACTGGATTGTAAGCTTCTTGAGGGAAGAGGACTGTACCTTATACTACTGTGAATTAACTCCTGCCCCTTATAGTCCTTGTTTATGTTTACTAAAATAACCAGTCAAATCTGAGTAACATTTAATATTAGTCTCAAAAAGGAATTCTCAGCCATTTCTAAGTGATAACCAACTAACCAAGATGATTTTATTAATGTTTACTTTCTATACTTTGAATTAAGAAAATGTTATTTTCTTCACATTTTCCAAATAAAATTTATTAAAACTGCACCTTTACTATTTGCTACATTTCTTGCAATCCATGCCTCTATACCCTTTAAGATTCTAATACACATTTGTACCCTTGAGTAAGAGTGGCTGATATAGGCCTCTCCTGTTCTCAGTCTCTCATTTTACGGTTGAAGAACCTTGAGGGCCACATTCCAAGTGGTTCTCCCATTTGTTTCTGGCAATGTGTTCTCTAAACAGCTTGGTCAAGACTCAAGATTCTGAGGGGTATAAGAGTTTTAAATGCTGTGTACTTTTCTTCTGACAGAGCTGAGAAGCTTCAGCTGCTGAATCATAGGCCTATGACTGCTGTTGAGATCCAGCTGGTGAGTGAAGGAGACCTGAACTTGGGGAGCTTGATTTCTGGGTCTGCGATGTAGAAAGGGTGATAAAGGCTGAGAACAGACAAGCTAGGAACTGCCATTTCTTGAAAAGACTACACGACCACCCCATTTTATAAGTGAAAGGAGACCTCACCAATTTTATCCTAGTTATTAGGGACTTAGGGAAAGTAGAAGACTGGAAGAAATTTAATTCCTTCTATAGGGTTTGGGCCTAGGGTTTTGGCAGCTCTTTGTCTCCCCTGATGTCCTAAGCCTTTCTGGCCATTGCTTCCCTGTAGGGGTTATTGCCAACCAGATGTTGCATAAAAACATAAGATTCAACATGACTGGTGAAATTTATCTCCCCCCACTCCCACCCTTCAACCCCACTCTTCCTGTGTTTGTTTTCTTGGTTAATGGAGCATATGTGCACTTTCCCACATGCTCTCTTTCTCCCTCACCCTCCTGGCCCAGTCTCCCAGGGCAGAAACCTGGAAGTCATTCTCTTCCTTTCGTCTCATATTCAGTTAGTCCCCAGGTTCTGTTGCTTCTATCTCCTCTTATTTTTTCTTCTCTCCCTACTGCAGTGCATTGATTTCTGTCATCATTTCTCAGCTTGGCTCTTACAGTTGTCCTCTCACCATTCTCCTGGCCCCCTCAGTCTGGCCTCCTGAGTCCATCTTCTACACCACTATCATAGTTCCCTTTCTAAAACCACAGATTGACTATCTTGTTTCCCTGCATAAAACCATTCAGTGGAGCCTCATCACTTGTAAAGTCTACATAGCAGTCATAGCATACAGCTTTAGAATTGTGGAAAGTAGCCGGAAGAGAAGCTGGAGATGGTATAGGGGAATGTGAAAATGAGGTCCAGTGATACGGAGTGGTTGCTATGCTGGCATGTTGTGGCAGTTTTCTTCTGTGGTACAGGGCAGAGAGCATCATTAAGCTACAGATATTAGGTAGGCTAACTGCCAGTAAAAAAACTTTGGCTGGAGAATAAATGAGATGAGAATAAAGCAGTTTCCAAAGTCAGTTTTAGAAGTATTTAGCTCTTTGTCAAATTTCCTTCAGAAAAGTGTGAAGAAAAATGGCCAAAAATACCTATAATGTTTAGAGTTTCTTAAAAAAAAAACACCTTTTTTAAAAGGGTTATGGGGTATTTAATTTTTGATTAAAACTTTTATTGTCTTCCCAGCATTGTTTTTGCCCTTCAAAATGCACCCAAAATTAGAAAAATTCCTTCCATAGAGGGTGCCTTTCTGGGGAACTGGCCTTTAGGCTAAACAGAGATCCTTTTTTGTACCCTCATTATTCTGATCCTTTCGACTGTGTTGGAGATTCAACTTAGAAAAGAGAAAAAACAAACAAAACAGCAAGAAACTAATCCCTGTCCCTCTGGGTTAAAGATCACATGTCCTGTCTCCTCCAGCTTTAATCAGCAACATATGTTATTCATGGCTTAATAACAGATGGAGAGAAGAGATGAGGAAGATTAGCATGACCTCATCCCAGAGCCTGTAGAAAGCCCTATCATTACTTGGTAAGATTAGCTGCTACTAAGAGTGCCTACTACATGTCAGACTTGGAGCTAGGGGCTTTCTATATGTCACCTTTAATGCCCTCACCATAGTCTTGGCTAGTGAGTGGCTGATTTGGTCTGTCTGATTCAAAAGCCTTACCTTGTTCCTCCAAGCCATGTGCTTTTGCATGGTGAAAAGAGAGGTGTGTGTGGCATCCCCTCAGACTGTTTATTCTCTTCTCCTTTCCACAGGTAGGTGGGCCTTGCTAAAAATTGTATGTTGTTTCCAGCAGTTGGACCATTTTGTAGCCAGACTTCTCCCAGCCTAGTATTTGGCTACAAAGGGTATCAAATCATTTACGAAAGCTTGTAGCAGTATCTCTTCTCACCAGAGAGGGGTAAGAAATGAAGTTTTTACATAGAGTGGAAAGGGCAAAGGACTTGAGAATTTCCCTGTGTTACCCTTACGGCCATTTATTCTCTCTGGGTCCAGAAGTAATCCCAGCATCCTACATTTGTTAGTGTTCAGTTCAGAGGCTGAAACTTCTCTTTTGTGGTTATATCTCAGCCATGCTTTGCTGTGATCCTCAGATACACAGTTGACTGCCTGCTGTCTGTGAGGAAATAAGGAAGCCACCCAGCTTCTGTGACTTCTGCCATGCCCTGTTGTGTATTCATTTGGGACAGTGTGTGAGCTCTCTGGCCTGCAGACAGGACAGTTAACCCCATGACCTTACAGGACACTGTCCTGAACAGTACTACCATCTATGCCTGTTATAATTTAGTGATTATAAAAAGCCTTAAATTATATAGAGTTTTATGACTTACAAAACACTATAATGTATATTCTCATTTGGTCCTTACTATAGGCATTACTTTCATTTTATATTAGACAAAATTGAAATTTACAGAGGTTAAGTAAACTGTTTTGGGTCAAATACCTAGAAGTGTCTGTTGCTATTAGATTTTGAGTTTTTTTGAGGAAAGTAGGTGGTTAGGCTTGGCAACTTAGAATGAGAAACAACCATTTTTGGAGTACAACAGCCCAGTTTGACAGCCCCTGGGAATTGATACAATCTTTGTATATGATAAAAATTTATCATTTATCTTGACCCATCTGCAAATACTTGGATTTTTACATTTCATTTGCCCTTATATTCTGAACAACTTGAAACCTTTGGTGTTTGAGAATGTTGAGATGGTGCTTTGCATTTCTTTATTTGGGCTCTGTTTATTCTGTGTTGAGAAGAAAAGGTGAGGAATAATATAGTTATTATCATTTACCCTAGTGATCCAAGAGGGATTAGTAAATTTTTGGTTTCTGAAAGTTTCCTTTTTGTGTATATTTCATTTTGCGTAATGCAGCTTAAGTTTTCTTCCTGTGACTGAAAATTGGGTTAAAAAGAAAAGTTGCTGACTATAATTGTCCCTGAGGCTTGTGTGCTGATAAAAGCCTCTGCTTTTGGCGAATTTGGCAAAATTAGAAAGCTCTTTAGGCCTATTGCCAAGAACACACCTAGCTGACATCTGATCGGTGCTGCATCTGTCAAACCCAGAATTTCAGATGCAAGAAGGCAGCCTGTTCAAGTCCTCTCTGTTTGGTTTTCTAAAAAGCAAGGCCTCTCAGAGGTCATATAACCAAACTCTTTGAAACTAGTGAACTCTAGTCTGGGCCATAAAGCATATCTGAGAGAGGAAATGATAGAAACCTCCTACTCGAGGGCGTGGTGTTTTAGAAGGAGCTGGGATTCAAAGTCAAAAGACCTTGCACTACTTGCTAGGAGACCCAGATCAAGTTTTCCTTATAACCCTGAGCCTTCACTTACTAGTCTGTAAATTGTCCTGACTTTAAGTACAGCGTTCTTGAGAAGCTCTGGTGGCAGTGATTCCGGGAAAGGCCCTCATGAACTGTGGAGCATTGTAGAGATACTGGTGGGCGGTTGTCACTGCTCTAACAACAGCCTCAATCTCCTGCACCCTCTTCCCCTGAGGCAGGAAGCAGTTCATCATCAACTCCATATGCCAGTTATTCATAACTTGCAGACATTCTTTTCTCAAGTGGAGACCATCTTTTCTCAAGATTAAATAATCAAATTGGATATATCCCGTCTTTCTCTTCCTTCATTCTTTGGAGGCAGTCTATGTTAGATTACTTCCTTTTACAGACCCTAATTTTGCATGTCTGATTTTAAAAAATAGGTTTTTGAGGATTGTTTCTTTTTTCAGTAGAGAAGTTACATTTTACAGAGCCTTTGAATCTTTAGAAAATGGTCGATTTATTTCACAGCATGATGGGAAGTAGCCCCTTTGGTTCACTCAGGATCTTCTCCACCCTAGAACACCCAGGATTATTCTCTATTTGTGGGAACATTTTTGGACTGAGATGAATGAAGAGACTGATGTTTTGCCAGGAGTTTGCAGTATGATCTTGGACATGTCACCTGACTCCTTTAGCTTCTGTACTGTTATCTATAAAGCAAGGCAATCACACTGAAGTCTTTTTCAGGATCGCAAGCCTGGCCTGTCATCTTACTTTACTTAAATTTGCAAGGATTTCTTTCTGGAACTCTTTTTGGTCTTAGTTGCCAGATTTCAGAGATTGCTGTGGGAAATGCCATAGAACAGGACCCTGGACACCTTTAGCTGAGAAAGCTGTTTGTAACAGATGGCTAATGCTACCAAGTGAACGTGGTTAAGTAACTTGACTGCCTGTGTAGTGCTTTTTAAAAGGTGGCTACATTATGTTTGTATTCATTAATATATTGAGAATTAAAGGTGAGGCTAAGAAAACTGGCTCATGATTATGGATATCATCTGTGTGTTCAGATTTGTAGGACCTTGTCGGAAACCGGGCTTTAAGTGGACCTTTGATGGGGCAGTGGGGGATTGTTTCCCAGCTGCCGTTCATCAGACTCCTGTTCTGCATTCCCAGGAGATGACCAAGGCCACATGGTGTGTGTTAGATTGCAGGTGTTAAGAGTTGGGCAGGCCTGGCTTGGGATTCTAATTCTGCCCTTTATTAGGATTGTTGTGAGGGTCAACAGAAATAATGGATGTGAAGTGCAAGGTGCAACACCCGGCCCATGAGCTCCCTAAAGGGCTGTTATTAGTGGTGGTGGCAGTGAGGGTTAGAAAAAATATATAAACTATTTGGCACATAGTGGGCAGTCATCCAATGAGTTGTTGATATACTTCATAAGTTACAGATGTGCTTGTGAAATACGAAAGTATATAAGGTGCCATTTCACTCCCCAGAGGTTAGTTTTCTTTGTGTATACAACATGTTTGTGTTTGTATGTGGATGGGTATAGAACTGTTAAGGTGTTCTTTTTCTTTAAAGAAAAATGCTAACCTATAACTTGCTTTTTTCACTGACCCATTTTGAGCAGTCGCATTGGCTTACCCCGGCATTTGAGCTGGCTTCTCCCTCCCGTGGAGCCAAGATGGAGAGGATCTAGAGACCTGAGGTGACTCAGGAGCTAAGCCCTGAGCTATGTGTGCCAAGAGGCTGTGCCGAGACCGAGAACAACATAGGCGGGGGAGGGCAGGGGTGGATCTGGCTTGTGAGGCTCATTTGTAACCCCTGGAGGGTTTTCTTTCCTCCTGCAGATGGTGGAAGAGAGTGAAGAACGGCTCACGGAAGAGCAGATCGAAGCACTCCTCCACACCGTCACAAGCATTCTGCCTGCAGGGCCAGAGGCTGAGCAGAAGAAAAATACCAACGATGACGTGACAATGGATGAAGAGGACCCAGCATAGAAGAACACAGCTAGCCCAAGTGTCTCATGAAGTTGAAAGGCCTAGCAGTCATTTCCCGGATGTTCAGAGGATTGTTTATTTGGTTTTACCCTCTACCCCAACAGGCCTGATTTCATGGTTTAGTTGGGTAAATCTCAAATATAAGTTAAAAAGAAATTCTTGTGTCTCTGGGACAAGAAACATGGGTGAAGATAGGCTGAGGTTGTCGGGGCAGAAAGAGAAGAGGACAGAGTCGAAGAGGACAGTGACTGTGGAACCTCTGTGGTAAAATGTTTCTTCTATGGCCTTTGCCACAGTTGTGGGAAGGTCCCTGTACACAGCTAGTAGAATACTTGTGTTGTCTTTGATGGGCTGTGTCCTAATTAGTTTCATCTGCTTCCCTAGGAACTTCCCAAGCCGGGGCACAGAGTGCTACTGGGGTGAGAGCTGAGTTATGAGAATTTGGTTAGACATCTAAAACCGCCCAGAGCAGCAGATCGTTGCTTTAGGTTAAAATGAGCCACCGAACTTGGCTCACCTTACAGGAATCTTTTCCTTGAGAACAGCAGAGATAAGAGCCCGGCCATCAGGTCTGAAGGCCCCTTTCTTCTGTTGACATGGGCTTTGTGTACCAGCTCACTATTTAGTCATAAAGGTTAGGGTACCAGCTCATTCCAGTTGAAAAGAGACTCCAGAATGAATGACAGTGGCAACAAAAATACAGTGTTGGCTGCCCTTTGGACCATCTTCAGTTCCTGACCTGAGACAGGAGCCCTGGGTAGGCACCTTCTGTTGAGGCCAGGTCGTTTGCACAATGGGCAAATGGTTTGCATTTTGAAAAGGCACAAATACGTAGCTCTTTTCAGGGACAGCATATGAAGAACTAGAGGTTGGTTAATAAGAATTTGAATTTGTTGGCTGTTGCAGGGTTGCATCAGTTTTTGAATTTAAAATATTAGGATAATTACCATGTGAAGAACTTGTAATATTCAGGCTTTGGAGAGTTTAGTAGCTCCAGACATGTGGTTGCCTTAGGTCCTAGGAATACTGCTAAAAATTAATTTCCCACATTTGCTCTCTACCCTATTTGGGGAAGAAAATGCCCATAGACATTAATTTTCCAAATTGGTACTCATTTTGTTGTAAGATTACATAGTTTCCGTGTTGCTGTTAATTGGATTACTTTCTACCCCCTTGCAATTCCCAGGTTATTTCAGCCTCCCTACCACCCCTGCCAGTTGCAATTATGTCAATCCTAACCTTATTATCTAAGGATCAACTGAGATCTGCTTATAGGCAACATTGAAATTAACAAGGCATTTATATTTAAGTCTCTCTTGAGTACTGGGAATTTTACAAGGAGCTGTTGATTTATTTGTCAAGGCATATATGTGCTTATGTCATTGTTGTTTCATTTTAACCTTGAATGTGTTAGATGCTTTTTCTTGATGGATATAGAGCTTAATCTAGTTAATAATAAATTGTTTCCAGGTGACTGCCAACTTTTGATATTTTTATAAATCTTTGAAGAGTTTGTTTTGCCACGTATAGAAAGAAATAAAGTGACTGACTTAAAAGCTAAAATATGTGATTTAAAAAAAAAATTGAATCTATTTAGATCTAAATTCTGTGTTAGATTTCAAGAAAATTTTAAGTTTCTGTATTTGGGACTTGAATTTAGCCTCAGTTTCTGATTAAGCCAGGCAGGCTCTGGGAGACTTAACCTTTATAAGAAACATATTCTGTGTAATATTCCTGTCACATTAATAATCATTTCAGAAATAAAAACTAATTTACCTAAGAAACTTAACGAGGATCACATCTAGGAAGGAGAGCTGGAGAGGCTGGGAAAATTGCTTTTCATTTTATATCCTTCTCTATGGTTTCAGTTTTTGACCATGTGACTGTTTTATTCTTTTCTTTTTTTTTTTTTTTTTTTTTGGTGAGGAAGATTAGCCCTGAGCTAACATCCAATGCCAGTCCTCCTCTTTTTGCTGCAAAGATTGGCCCTGGGCTAACATCCCTGCCCATCTTCCTCTACTTTATGTGGGACACTGCCACAGCATGGCTTGACAAGTGGTGCATAGGTCTGCACCCGGGATCCAAACCTGTGAACCTCGGGCTGCCGAAGCGGAGCACACGAACTTAACTGCTATACCACCAGGCCGGCCCCTGTTTCATTCTTTAGAAAGAAAAAAAGCCTGTGCATTTGCATGTTGTCTTTGGCCTCTGTGAGAGTTACTGAATGTGTAGTTGACAGTTAAATTATGTCCCAAACGTGGAGGCTGATGTCCAGTCCAGTCACTCCAGAAGAGGCAGCTCTAAGAAGAGCTGGGGCAGGCGTTGTAGCATATGAGGAAGGCGGAACTTTGAGAACTAATTCCAGCATCTGGCCCAGTGACTGTAGCTAGACATATTTTTGGGTCCTCCAGCCTTCCTTTGTTATTCCAGACTTTTGTAGGCTCTCAGTTCACTTTTTTTTAGGGGAAAGCTCTGGTTTTTAACATGGGGACACTTTTTAGTTATCTGTAGGGAAGGTACTATTGAGCTCTTGAAAAATTAAGTTGACTCCCAGTTACAGGTTTACCCAAATATTTTCCTTGCCTCTTTTTGCTTAAAAGTTACAGTATGACCTACTTCCACTTCAGAAGACTTCCCTTTTATTCAGGGCTTGTTCATAAAATAGTGGGTACCATTTCCCTAATCAGTCATTGTGTAACCACACCAGCTCTCAAGAGCTTTGTACCCTAGTGAGAGGTGAGTAAATTAATGCTCCAGTATATTCTTTGTAAAATCATTTTCTCTTCTTGAAACCAACTTAACACCACTCATGCAAATGAATCATTTCTCAGTAAAATTTAAAACAGATCACACAGGGCTGGCCCCGTGGCTTAGCAGTTAGGTGCGTGCGCTCCGCTGCTGGCAGCCTGGGTTCGGATCCCAGATGTGCACCAACGCACCGCTTCTCCATCCACGCTAAGGCCGTGTCCCACATACAACAACTAGAAGGATGTGCAGCTATGACATACAACTATCTAGTGGGGCTTTGGGGGAAATAAATAAATAAAGTTATAAAAAATAAAACAGATCACATACCCTGAAAAGAATCATCAACCTTATTTAATTACACAATGAACAAAGGGGATAAAAGGAAGCAAAACTGCCTAGAGATCCTTTTATATATTTTTTAAATTAGCATATAATTCACATACCGTAAAATTTACCCTTTTAAAATATACCATTCAGTAGTTTTGACTATAGTCACAAAGTTGTGCAACCATCACCATTAGCTAATTCTAGAATATTTTCATCACCCCAGAAAAAAGCCCCATACCCATTAGCGGTCATTTCTCCATTCCCATTTCCCCATAGCTCTTGCCAACCAAAGCCCTTGCTATCGTATCTAAGTAGATTGCCCATAATCTACTTTCTACTTTCACTGTGTATTTGCCTATTCTGGACTTTTCATATAAATTGAATCATATAATATGTGACCTTTCGTATCTGACTTCTTTCACTTAGCATAAATATTTTCAAGGTTCAAATATGTTGTACCATTCCCTGTTAGGGATGAACAATATTTCATTGAATGGATATACCACATTTTGTTTGTTCATCAGTTGGTGGACATTTGGATTGTTTCTACTCTTTGGCTCTTATGAGTATGTTCCTTGTGAACATTCATGTACAAATTTTTTGTGACCGTATGTTTTCTCTTCTCTTGCATATACTCAGAAATAGAATTGTTGAATCATGATAACTCTGTTTTAACTGTTTGATGAACTACCAAACTGTTTTCCATAGTACCTGTACCATTTCGTGTTTCCACCAGCAATGCATGATGGAATCCAATCTGTCTTGTTATTGTCCCTCTTGTTGATTATAGCCATCCTAGTGGTTGTGAAGTGCTATTGTGGTATTGATTTGTATTTCTCTAATAGCTACTGATGTTGAGCATCTTTTCGTGTGTTTATTGGCCATTTGTATATCTT